ATATTCTTTGCCTCTCCCACTCTCCAACTTATTTCCCTAATAAATCCATCAGTACCACAACTGAGAGTAAAACCTATGAGTCAGAAACGAACTTTTTCTGGCGGTTTGGCTTAAGAGACACCATGTGGTTGGGCTATGGGCTCTTTATCTGATTTCTGCTCAGGGATCGTGAGGGGCTATGCTATCCTCACTCCCTCTGGTCGTTCAGAAAGACACTCATGGCTCTGTGCCCCTGTGTCCTCTTTTCTACTCTTTAGACAATGTTGTTTTTGTTGTTATATGCCTTCAAGCAAGTGCTTTCAAGTTCCGTCTTGCTTTCAGCAAACATTTGCATGACGTAGTCTGTTGATTAATCTTCTTTTGATCCTGATACCATACTCTTCATAAAGTCCAACTTTGAATAATTTGTTCAAGATACAGATTTAATAAATTAAGAGAGAGGACACAACCCTGACACACATCTTTCTTATTTAAGCCTTGCACTATTCTCTTAGTCTACTCATATAATAGTGTCTTGGCCCAGGTATAGGTTTCACATGAGCATAATAAAGTGTTCCTCTCAATGTTAGTCATAATTTTTTTATGATCCACACAGCCAGTCAAATGTTTAACATAGTCAATAAAGCAAAAACAAACATTTTTCTGGTATTCTCTGCTTTCAGCCAGGATTCATCTGACGCCAGGCTCCCTGGTGCCATGGCCTCTTCTAAACCCAGCTTGTACTTCTATGTATTATCCTAGCAGTTTTTCAATTATCTTAAGCATATTTACTAACATATGATATTGATAATTGTGTTATTGTTGATTGCTGTAAAGTTGAGCACAACTCATAGTGACTCTGTGAACAAAAGGCCTGAAGCCTTTCTATAACTATCGTCATTTATCAGTGTTTCCTGAGGCATGTTGTTTAGGAAGTGGATGCCACTCCTGCTTCCAAATATATTTATTGATAATATTGTTCCATAATTTCCACATTCTGTTGGATTAACTTTCTTTGGAATGCTAACAAGTATGCACCTTGTCTAGTCAGTCGGTTAGGTAGCTGTCCTTCAAATGTCCTGGCATAGACTGGTGAGCATGTCCAGGACTTAGTCTGTTAGTTGAAACACGTCAGCTCATCTCATCAAGATATCTCATCGATTCAAGGTATTCTCATCTCTTTTTTATTCTTCAATGCCTTCAGTACAGCTCGAATTTATTTAGAGATATTTATATCTATCTATCTATCTATCTATCTATCTATCTA